TTGGGTATCAAAAACCCAACAAAACCAAACTCCATTTGAAACCTTCTCTACAGACCAACTCGGCAACTCCTCTCCAACGCTAGCGTCGCCCATCTCAGAGCCTCAATTGCCGCAACTACCACTAGTGCGAATGGATCGTGCACCTACTTTCGCATCACCTCCAGGTATTTTCCCCAATTCTCAAACTCTCACACCCTGCACCGAACCACTCGCACAACATGATCAATTTGTGCCTGAACTTACTAATTTCACAAATACATAAAACCAAACACGATATCTCAATCGCGAACCACTAACCATAGGAATCCAACAAGAAAGTAACCCAACCCGCACCCACTCCATGATAATTCGTTCAATGAATAACATCTTTAAGCCCAAACAATTAAACTCTGTTATAAAATACCCAATTCTACCCACCATTGAACCAAGTTGTGTCAGTCAAGCAATTCGTGATCCTAAATGGAGAAGTGCCATGTCTGATGAGCTCACAGCTCTGATGAGATACAACACATGGGAATTAGTTCCTCCACCCACTCACTGTAAACCAGTGGGTTGCAAATGGGTATTCAGGGTCAAGAGAAAATCTGACGGGTCTATTGATCATTACAAAGCGAGATTGGTGCAAAAGGCTTCAATCAAAGGCCTGGACTGGATTCCAAGGAGACATTCAGTCCAGTTGTAAAACCAGCAACTATTAGAACTGTTTTGGCCATTTCTGTGATGCAAGCGACAACTTATTTTTACATGGAAAATTGCATGAAACTGTCTACATGATTCAACCATCGGGTTTCAAAGATTTGTCAGAACCTAACTATGTTTGCAGGTTAAAAAAGACCATTTATGGTCTCAAACAAGCTCCAAGGGAATGGTACTTAGCCTTAAAAGAAAAAAATTCTGGAACTTGGTTTTGACAATTCAAAAGCAGATAGCTCCTAGTTCATTTACAAATCTGTCTCTGTTTTATGCTTCTTCCTAGTCTATGTTGGTGACTTAGTCATAACGGGCAGTGATAAAAACTTTGTTGGCTCAATAATTGAGAAGTTTCTTTCTCTCTAAAAGACATGGGGCAACTACATTTCTTCCTAGGCATGGAAGTCATTCCCACTACCGCTGGTTTATTTTTATCTCAGCATAAATATATTCATGATATACTCTCAAAGACAAACATGCTTGGTGCAAAAGAGGTGTCCACTCCACTATCCACAACAATGGCTCTTAAACTCGTTGATGGCACTTCAGGAGTTAACATCACATAATTTAGGCATCTCATAGGTGCACTCCAGTATCTCTCTCTAACACGCCTAGACATATCCTTTGCAGTGAACAAACTCTCACAATTCATGCATAAACCCACTGCTATGCACTGGACAGCTACAAAGAGACTCCTAAGATACTTGAAACAGATAATTTCTTGGAGTTCTAAAAACAACAAGCCATTGCAAGATCATCGACTGAAGCGGAGTACAGAACCCTTGCCAATGCTGCATCTGAAACCATTTGGTTACTGTCACTGTTTCAGGAACTCGGCTTACCTATTTCTACACCACCAAAATTGCTTTGTGACAACTTGTGAGCACCACAACTTAGCTTCAATCCTGTTCAACACTCTCGGATGAAACACATCCAAATAGACCTACATTTTGTTCGAGATATGGTTCAAAAAGGCATGCTGAATGTTCAACATGTTAACACAAAAGATCAGCTTGATGATCTTCTCACAAAGCCATTGTCAAAGCAACGTGCGGAAGAGATCAGGACCAAGATCGGACTTGCAGATGGAAGCCCTATCTTGTGAGGGCGTATCAGAGATATCACCATAAATCAAGCAACAGATCAGCTCAATATTTCAGCCAAGAATCAAGTCCTGTGACAGCCCCAATCAAGCAACAAATTAGCTCAATATTTCAGCCAAGAATCAAGTCATGTAACAGCCTCAATATTTCAGCCAAGGTTCTAGCTAGCTTTCTTAAAATAGTTCTCTAATCTTTGTATATATCTAGCACACGATTCCTTTGTAAATAACATTGTCGTACTATAATCATTTTGTTTAATAT